ATAAGAATTTTATAGTTAGTTTTCATTGACCTTAAAAACCCTCCAGAAGCTATACTTTCACTTTTATTTACTTATTATTTAATATAATAACTATGTTACATCTAAATTGGTAGTTTCATTTTGTGTCATTCCAGGGGTTTATACTGATTAATATGTAGGGAAGTATAATGAAATAAAAAGACAGTATGAAGATTATTTAGACCGGCCTATCCGAACTCCGGTAAAAAATTTTTGTAACTACCTTATAAACGCTGACCGAACTGCGGTAAAATTCTCAGTTGGGGATTAACCTGCTCTCTCGCTTTAATTACGCACCGTAGTGATGGACACAGTTATTTAATACTAAAAATTTTGAATCAAAAATTTACAATATTTATATATTGTTACGTTGTGCAGGCGAATAAAAATTGGCTTGGATTAAAATTCAACAATTTATTTCTTAATAACTCGAATTACACTACTAACTATTGCAGCGATTACGTACAAAATAACTTCACAACTTAAATACATTCGCTCACTCAACTCTTGACTGAATGAATCATTTCCGAAGGTGGCCTCTATTTAAATCCCTATTTCGGTGATCGACCTCTTTCTCGAATTGAGTATTCGCGACTTTCGCTTCCAGGCTTTTCGAGAGCCGCTTCAAGACTCTGGGCCCGTCGCGACATCCGCTTGCATCCGCGCCGGTGAGTCATACTACATACGAGAAGAAACGCGTACATACTAGACGACCATAGGCATCGTACCATAGGCTTATGGGTTTATTTCGTAACAATATTTTCAAATTTATTATTAGTAAATCGTTTTTCTTTATTTCTCGATCGTGTTAAGTATGTTAATTGAAAACTGAACCGGTGATCACATTTTTTACTCTTTGAGTTTCAAAGGACTTGGTTTTCCAGAATATATAAATTCCTATCCTTTTCGAATTTACTGATTGAAGAACAATGCCCTAATCCCCTGAACCTCTGCGGTCGGAAAACGGACCACAATTTGCTCAAAAATATCTACCCACCTGACTACCTGATATTTGAGCACAATTTCCCCGGCAATTCAGATACGACCATTTAGACAATTGTAAAACTTAGGTACCTGCAAAACAGAAAATAAAAATATTCGGCCTGTAACAACCAAAGGACGACCGCTCTGCGGTAGTTAAGTTATTCAGATAAGGGTTCAGGACAATCGTCCACTCAGGTAGAGACCTTCGTGCTTTGGCTTCCTGGGTGGTTATCAAAATTTTATATGATACTACGATGTGTACTAATGTTACTGTGTCGACTCAGTAAGAAGCGCGACAGGCAAACCGGACAATAAAAGGTCGTTCCAGCTGAATTTATAATTAAAGCTGGATTTATCGCTACTCCGTAAACGCAAACGGTTCGCAGAACGCAACGTACCGCAAATTTCATCTTTTCCGTTTGCGTCGCCTACGGCCGACCAATAGGAGCGCGTATTGTGTCGAAAGAATCCGAATATAAGTACGATGAAAAACGAATGAAGTTGGCACTCGGCTGAGTTTGTGTAGCAACTTAGTGAGTGTTTGTGATAACGAGATAACCAACTGACAGAATATAAATTTCTAATAATTTGATAAATAAGAAATGGACACTGACATACTTCTGGCAAGTGCTAGTCTGTTTCTATTGTGTGCATGCACTTATTTAAGACGAAACGAACGACGTCGGAAAATAAGAAGATTGAAATTACGTGAAATTAATCGCAACCGACGTAAAAATGTTTTTATAGAAGTACTTTTCTTCCAATGTACGCGAAAAACCCACAACAATTTTTCAAATTTACACGAATGACTCCAGCTACGTACCGAACTTTCTGTGCAATAGTTGCACCTAAACTTAAAGAAAAACCTATTTTACAACACGCAGTGTCTCCAGGCGAAAGACTTGCAGTAACCCTGCAGTAAGTATCTGTTATAATAGAATAATAATATGTATAAAAGTTACCCCTTTTAAGCTATATATAACGTGATATTTTTTAACTCTGAACATATGAAAATAACTAAGTATCCCTATGTCCAGTTTTAAAAAACACATATCAATCCACTGAAAATACGGCGTCAATGTTACGCACTTGATTTTGAAGAACAAAAAATTTCAAAGTACTTGGAATTAAGTTAACTGACATTAGGGTTTTCGATGCATAGCATAAGATATTTAACTTTCTTTCTTCAGTTAAAACATTATCGTATTGAATCTATTTCTTTATTGGTATTTATGCTCGATGCTTCGAGTATTGTTTATTTGTTTGTAAAATATAATAATATCAACAATGTGATAACCCAAACTTCCCGCCTTAAAAATTTGACCTTGAAACAGTTTGAGAGGCCCGCGAAAAATTCAAAAATTCAAAGTTTGGCCTTGGCTGTGATCGTCTAACAAATGAGAACCTACGTTGTGTGTTTTTTTTTTGTTTTTGAAAAATGGCGGGAAGAAGTTCTTTCATACAAGTGCATACACTGTCGAGAGCGCAAGAAATAATAGACAAAATTGTTTTGGAGGGCGAGTACGGCACCCTCACAGGGGGAAAGACGCTTCGAAGATTTACTCCTCAGCGCAAAAACCCCCTTTGGTTTTTATTCCCGGACGACCTATTACATTTCAAACACCTTAAGATATGTGAAAGAAAAACACTCGCGAATTGACAGACATACACACACGAAAAACGAACAAACGGAAATTCTGTACATCTGTTTGGAATCAATGCAAATATTTGAATATCACAAATTTAGTAAAACAAAGCAAAAGCTGAATCAAGTAACTGGATGCAAGTACACAAGTTATTACAGGCGTGTGGCGGCCGATCTCCTTTTCCTTTTTTTTTTTTTTGTTACGGCAATTAACAGGAGCACAAGAAAAGTACCCCTGGAGCGTTGTGGCATAAGCGGAGTCTGAGCTACCGGTCTGGAACTGTTCTCCCCCCGCGACGGTGATTCTATCTATCGCAAAGCCTACCCCACACGCATATCTCATGACGAACTTTGCCCTGCGGAACTAGGCCATTACGGTCGTCCAACCCGCAAGAGATCTAAGCTATGTACAGGAGCTGAGAAATTTACAACGTCGGCGGCCGCCCCTGAATCTATCCAAACCTGAGGGCTTGTACAGGTGGCACGATAAATCTCGCCAGCTCGACTAGGAACCGAACCTCGCTTCTGCCACGTTTTCTATGTTATTTAACCTCAATTCCATTTTAAAATATTCAATCTCTTATAACTCTGATATTAACAACAACTGAACAAGTGTTAAAGTTTCAAAGGGCAATAATATATTGTATACGATAGAAACATTCATCAGCAAAGTATTTACAAAACAAAACTTAGCAAGGATTTATGCAACAAAGAACTGATGTGAAATAAGCTTGTACAAATAGAAATATCATGTGAGGTTAAAACTGTAGAACATGAAATTTACGTTCAATTAAATTTATACAACAAATAAAATTATTGAGGTTAAAATTGTGAGATTAAAGAAATGTAGTATGAGGTGGAAGATTGCAGAGTTACCAAAATTTACAGGAGATTAATATTTGCCACACTTTATCAACGGTTCAAGCAAAGAGTTTACATTATGCCAAATTATATCATGAACTAAAGGATTGGTTATTTCAAAAATAATTTACTTTGAGAGTTTAAAATACTACGAACTGGTTACCCCAACAAAACACATAATAAACAAATACAAAAATATCCAATCATCGCTCCGAGGGAAAAAGCGTCTCGGTGATGTAAATCCCAAAATCGTTGCGAGGAAAAAGCGTCTCGGTAACGTGAATTTTCTGTAGCGTTGGGGGCATGCCTTAATTAATTAATCAATCTGGCGTTGCGAAACATGCCCCGATGAATTAATCGTGATAACGATGATAACCACCTAAGGGGAGAAAATATCATAACCCCCCCGCCAGTCCGCAGTATAATGAACTTGTTTAACTGCCGTAAATGATCTATTAGCAATCTTGTGTGAAGAATTTAGAAGTGTTATAATGTAACACTTACGTATATGCATCCAGAGACCTATTCGTAATTAAACACAAGGTGTTTTTCCTGACTAAGTGAATTTCATGAAATCTTCTAGCAAATGGTTAATTTAAATAATCCTGATTGTTAAATTGTGTTTGCACTAGCTGACTATTAAGAAAAACTAGCTTGATTGGTGAATTTACAAACAAAGAAACAGATTCACAACACGTGTTCGCGTCCGACCGGAAGTCTGCAATTTTCGATTAAAGGGGCGCAAGAATTTACCGCGCGGGTTGGGGACAACTGTATCATTATGAAAAATACGTTTGATCGTCGTTAAACAAAGGCTTCCTCCCGTTATATTAACTACCAAACCAACTAATTTAAACCTAGTTCTTACCACGTGGTCACACACACACAGCCACATTCGTAATGACACATTCTACCCCATGCACCTTTTTTTCTACCAACCCTCTAACTGAAATCACCCTAGCGCTACGTGCTGCTATCTAACCCAAAGATCATGCAAACTAACTCCTAAGCGCTACGTGCATTAGACCATCCATGCATATTTGGTTGCCTATGTTTAAGGAGTTCCTTTTCGTGATTGAACTTTTTTTTTTTTAAATTCAAATTATTCAAATGCGATTTCGCGCCGCTGTTAATTAATTTCAGCGCGAAAACTTTGATTTAAATTCGGTCACCACAACAATAATTTTTCTTTGTTATCGGGAATAGGACTACATCAAAATTAAAACCAATATTTTGCCATGTTTCGTCTGTTGACCATATACATTTTCAAGACTGTAAAAGAACAATAAATACATGGTTGGTGAGTCAACTTCTCTAAAAAATTATGTGGTTACAAATAAAAGGTTACATACTTCCAATGCATTGATGTGTTTTTTAAAACTGAACATAGAGATTAAGCCCATATGTTCAAAGTAGTTATAAAATGTCTGGTATTTAATTGTACTTCAAAAAATATATTTTAATTTACAGTTACCTGTCACAAGGATCATCCATGCAAACAACAGCTTTGGTGTTTCAGTTGGGCTTGACTACTGTGCATCACATTGTTAAACAGTGCTGTGCAGCTATTTGGGAGACTTTAGCACCAATATATTTAAAACCACCAACAACTACTGAGGAGTGGAAAAAAATTGCAAGTGAATTTTATACATTTTGGGACTTTCCCAATTGCTTGGGAGCAATAGACGGGAAACAAATCAGCATTCAAACTTCTGCAGGCTCAGGATCGTTGGATTTAAATTATAAAAAAGATGTTAGTATTGTTTTACTAGCATGTGCAGATGCCTCATATAGGTTTACATTCATAGATGTGGGTGCATACGGGTTTCAAAATGATGGAGGTCTATTTGGCGAATCAATATTTGGACTCGCTTTTGATACGAAAGCATTAAATGTCCCTTCACCGTCTTATTTGCCAGGAACAGAAACTCGAATGCCATATACATTAGTAGCAGACAAATCTTTTCCTTTAAAATCTCACATTATGCGTCCTTATCCAGGTAAAAATGTACAACTGAGAGAACGTATTTTCAATTACCGTCTTTCACGTGCACGTAGAATTATCGAAAATGCTATTGGTATTCTAGTTGCGCGGTGGCGCATTCTACGAACAACTATCGTAGCAAAAGCTGAAAATGTTGATAATATAGTAAAAGCAGCTGTTTGCCTACATAATTTTGTTAAAAAAGAAAACGAGACTGTGTACTGTCCACCAGGATATGTAGATTCGGCTGATGCTGAAGATGGTCTTTGGCGAAGTGAAATTGAAGCCCTTCCCTCTGTTGGCAGAGTATCTGCAAATAATGCAACACACAGGGCATTTCACTTCAGGGATACACTGAGTCATTATTTTTTAAGTCCCCAAGGTGAAGTGCGATGGCAATATAATCGTGCGTGAATGTAAAAGTATGTAGGACCAAATTTTGTTTTATAATAGGGCATAAAAATAAATGCAATTAGGTATATTTTGTAATTCAGTTTATTTTAATTATAATAATTATGAATAAATCATAATGTATTTTATGTGTACAATTATTATTACTAATTCCTATCCTCATTTTCGTACTTCTCTAGGATCGGCATAAATGTATATTGTCATTTTCGCTTTGTTTTTGGTTTTCTTTTCAAATTGATTTAATGTCAGAGTTATGTAATCATTTGAAGATCGCTTGTTACGACGTTGTAGAAATAGGGCCAACGACTCAGTAAACTATCAGCAGATATATCACAGTCAAATGGTAATTTATTAGAGTAGTAAAAAATGAATGTAATTTCAATTCTGTAGCAGTGTTAGTATGTAGTAATTTTTGGTCGTACTTCCGAATAAGGTAGTTATTATGTTGCTGATAGTATAAAAATTTGAAGAACCTAAGTTGAACATGGCAATTACAAATAGCGGAAAAAAAATTAAAGAACAATATTCAAGTTTAGATCTTATCAAAGAACAGGTAGTACAGCATCAGTAAAGGGTTTAGCGTTCCTCATTACAAAAACTAAGGACTTAAGAGATGATTGAGTTACAGTAAATAAACGTTGCTTTAAAAGCTAAGTTTTCTATTAAAAATTATGCCTATAAGTCACAGGGTGAGATAACAAGATTGTTTATGCTGTAGTTGTGAAGAAATAGTAACTGTGTTCTAGCGAATAAAACAATAATGCATTTTGCTATATTTAACGGAAATCCATTTAGAAAACACCATTTTACAATATTATTAATATCTTTTTGTAATAGTTTACAGTCATGATGTGATTCAATCATCATGCATAATGTTATATCATCAACTTGTAGTTCAAATCTAAATTATAATGACACAGGTTACATCATTTATGTAAACGAGGAACAAAAATGGTCCTCAATTGCATCCCTGGGGTACACCTGAGGGTTGAATATAATTTTGAGATCTACTCGTATAACCATTAAATACAACCGTTAGTTCTCTGTCAACTAAATATGACTGGAAAAGTAATAAGAGAGATTTATAAAAACCAAAATGGGGAAGCTCTGACAGTAGAAGATGATGAATAATGCGATCAAAAGCTTTGGACATATCAGTGTAACTTGTTTGTTCCGATTTAATTCTTCAGAGAAGAAAATAAATTCGTAAGTGTATATCGGTCAGCCATGCAATACTAATGGAATTTTGTACAAGAATACAGTTGCAAAGAATTTATCAAAGCTAGATAATATAGACATTGGTTTGTAATTCTGTGTGACTGCTACATTACCGCCCTTATGTATGGGACAAACGCGAGTACATTTCCACATTGTAGGAAATACACCACTACTAATAGTACTAATACAGTTGTTGAAAATATAGTGCAATGGTTCTATTAATATGTTTGAACGTTTTTTAATGAAGGATGCTGGAATACCATCACGTCCAGCCCAAGAGTTAGCCGCTAATTTTTATGGCATTCTTAATATCATCATTTTTTATTGCGGAGATATGAATATGTAAACTGTCATTATTTGGAGTCTACAAACTATTAGATTGAGTAGTATTTGCGGTATTAAAAGCGCAAGAAAAATGTAGGCTAAATGTATTAACTACATAATATGTGTGTCGATCAGTTATTGTAATATTACCACAAGTAAGTTTGCCAGGTATAGCTGTTAGATTTTTTTTTGTTCCTAATGAATTTTCAAAAGTTTTTAAGACCAGAAGAAGAACTAGACTGGATTTCTGAAAGGTATTCTTGTAGTTCCTCTTAATTAACTGTCAATTTTTTTAAATAACGTCGTCACTTTTTGCTTAAAGACGATGGACGAATTGTCCCAAGCATCCCCCCATCTACATGACAATATAAAAAAATCTCTAATAGGGAAACAATGACAGGTGAATGGACATGAATTTCGTCAAAATTACTTCATTACAAATCTATAAAACGAATAAATACACACAATGTTTTTAATGCCCAAGAAATTTTTTGTGATTCTTGTATTTTCATAGGTTAAACGTTTTTTCAGAATATTTTAACAGTGTTTATAGTGAATCACAGCCAGTTGATATCCAAAACTCCGCAGTAAACTCCTTTTATATTAGCGTTCCTGGTATTACTGAAAAAGACATATTATTTTGCATTAAAACAATTGAAAAACAAATTAACTTCAGGTACTGATCAAATTCCTGGTTTCTTGATCAAGGACTGTCAGTCGGTATTTGTGAAACCCTTGTATATTTTATTTAAGTTGCCACTGAAATCAGGTACTTTCCCTGATCAGTGGAAGCAGGCACGGATATGTCCCATATTGAAGAAAGGTAATCCATCTGTAGTGACTAATTATAGGCCAATATCTATCATTTCAAAATTTTCCAAAGTCTTTGAAAAGATCTTGCATAAATATATTTACAATTATGTGAAACCTTTGATCTCCACTTCACAGCATGGATTCATGCAAGGTAGGTCCACCACCACGAATCTTGTTGTATTTAGTCAATATATTTGTGAAAGTCTTGACTCCCGGGAACAACTGTGTATACAGACTTCCCCAAGGCCTTTGATTCTATAGATCATTATATACTTCTCGAAAAACTCCGTCGTATGGGATTTACTGATGCTTTAATACAACTAATGAGATCTTATCTAATCAATCTAACACAGTTTGTAGAGGTTTAGAATATGCGCTCTAATCCAATCACTCTGGGGTACCGCAGGGTTCTAATTTGGACGCAGACGATTTGAAGATATATCACAAAGTGTCAACACTTGAAGACTGTCTCTTAATACAAAAAGGCATGAATGCGCTAATGTCTTGGTGTTTAAGTAATCGTTTGCTGTTAGGAGTAATATTTGACGAGAAACTGACTTTTACTCAACACATAATTCTATAGTAGCTGCTTCTTATAAAAACTTAGGGTTCATTTATCGTAACTGTCAAACATTTTCAGATACGGACTGCTTAAAATCTTTATATATGTATATCACTAGTAAAGTCCAAATTAGAGTACGGGTCATTAGTTTGGCACACCATTTATGAAGTTTATATCCATCAATTAGAAAGTGTGCAAAGAAAATTTTTAAAGTATCTGGTGTTTAAAAGAATTGACAGTATCCTGTTCAAGGCTTTAGTCATGCACTCCTGCTCGAATGGTTTGAATTGGATTCCTTAAACTCCAGCCGAGTGGCCTCTTCAATTAAATTCTTATATGCAATACTCCATAATAGTATAGATTGTCCAAATCTTATGAATAAAATTTATATACTGGTTCCTCGTATAAACACTCGTACGCCGGTCTCATTTTATCCATCAAAAGTACGTACAAATATTGTTAAGAAATGCCCTATTTATGTAATGAGCACAAATTTTAATAAGTTTGCCAATGGATCTAACATATTTTTTGAGAGTTTAAAAAGCATCATTAATGGAGCTAAGCATTTACTCAACGCACACATTCTGTATAAATAGGCATACTTTGTATTATTTTTAGGTTATATACTTTTTTGATTTTGTTTTTTGTTGTATTATTGTGTATATATGTATTTCCTGTATTTGAGCTACTAGCCTGTAGGAAATAAAGATGATTATTATTATTATTAATGTATTGAGACTATTGAGAGAAAGTAAACATAGGTAACTATGAACATGAAGAAGAGACAGTATCAAGAATGTAGAAGAATTTTTATTTTTGTTTCTAATATTAAACTAATGGTGATGTGATTGATGGAAGAAGGATCCATAACTAGCTTTTCCATGAGGCGTGAAACTGGAGGGCTACCAGAACGTACGTCACCACTGTTCCTGATATCTGAAAGAAGAGAAATAAATTTGAGTAAACGTTTAAATATTGCTCCAAGGAGTGGAAAATTATCATAATGTATCACACATGTCTAATAAAAAAGTAAGAAAGAAACTGCATCTAGCTCTAAATGAACCATTTAAGATAGTCTTGGAGGTAAGTTAAGTTGAATGACGTTGTATTAACATTTCACTTAAAAATGACAGTAGCTTTCAGTTCGGGATTCGCCAGACGATCAGTTTCGTGATTAGTAAATTCTCCATGGTCGAGTTTAGTTCTTGAAAAATTAATATTTGTGCAATAATTTGGATTGGTTAATTGAAAAGAATTATCCTACATAGGTTACATTCAGAAACATCAAAACAAATGTTGCATTCGACTTATTGAAAGTAAGCTTTATGCTTACCTATGTTCTAAATCTATTATTATCATTATTGTAACTAGCTGATATCAGATGAATGTTGGAGAACGAAAAACATTTTTTTTTTGTTTCTACTTACCGAAGCTAGAAGTCTCGTTCCTACAGTGAAAACATTTGAAGCTCGGAGCACGGGTTTCTGTATTGTTAATGTAGTTATCAACACTTCTACCTATCGCAATAAAATATCAAAATTAGGTTATGCAATAAAATTTTTACTACAAGTAAAATGACAATAAATAGAAATTTTGTAGCCAGAACGAATAATGAAGACATTGGTAAGATTTGCGTACAGGAAGATACTCCACAATAACTAGAGTTAAGTTGTTAAGTGTCTAGTTTCCATTGTTCGCGAATGGTAATCTATCGTTCAGAAAGTGATTTTAAGAAGCTTGTGGCCAGTAAACAATTTATATTCGAAAAATATCCCCAAGAAGGCTCAAGAAAGTCCCCATCCAGATTGTGTTAAAAAAGCCAAAGTGCGTCTTAATATGAACCATAATTCTACATATCAAAAATAGTGGTACATACTTTGTAACAATTTTTATTGCATCGTTCGAAATTTCATCGTGTTTACATTTTTTTAACGCTTTAAATAGTGGAAGATCTATAACTTAACCGCTAGCCACTATTAAGTAGCGTCAGTGTTATATACGTACGTTGTCAACCTGACCTGACCTAACCTGACTGTTATGTACCTAAATTTACACCTTTTGTTTTACTATACATACCTGCGCTGCCTCGAAAGTAGTTAATTTACTAATTGGAAATTTAAACAGGAAAGATAAGATGTCTTCGTTCTAGAACAAATAAATTTATATGATTACTATGAAGATAGTAACATTGCCAGCTAAATGCTTAACTACCATGCGTCTAAATTACAGTATAGAATTTCATTTAGAATTTCGGAATACAGGCGTTAACAGCATTAACATTGGTCTTTGGAAAACTGCAAAAGCAAAAAGAAAAACTGGTTCTATGAGCATTAATTTCGAAATGGAATCGAATTGGGAAATCGTTAATTTACATAAGGTTGTATACACATTCTGTGACATTATTAGAACGCACGAATAAACAGGAAATTGATGGTTCATTTGTGTAACGAAATAATATTTACTGAAAAAGGTTAGCAGCATTTAACGGAAATAGCGTCCTTGTGTTTCAAAAACAAAAAACGGTAGGAGAAATGAGATCTATCTCACTCGCCAGATTTTCTAATTTTGTCGTTGTAAATTTTAATTGGAAAAAAAAATTGGCTGGTTATTTCGACAAAACGTCCCTCGCTTTTGAAGTATTACGTTTTTGATGTGCACGATCGAGAAACCTGTGTTTATAAATCTGGCATAAAATTTTTAAATTGTGTTTTTGCCGGGTATGGGACGATGTGGGAATGCTGCAGCAAAATTTTGCGCAATTTCTCTGCTGTCGATAAACCTTTAATGTATGCATCAGTGACCATTTCCACTTTTTCTTTAATTGTGTACTGCGGCATGTTGACGAATTACAATATTATCCCCAAAAAAATACAAATATTTTTTTTAAGAAATATCCTTCAATTTGGAGCATAACCTTTAATAAAATCGACAAAAGATGACCCAAATTACATCCAGTAAAAATTTCAACTCTGAATCTTTACCCAAACATAAGTTTAGTTAACATGGGGTAAGTATAAAATTTAATATGAGAATCCCTATGGCCATATCACGACCGGTTTTAAAATTTGTAATTCAGTTGATGAAAGAATGAAGCATGCAGAGTGTCCCAGATAAGTTTCTGCGGCTTCTTGACGTGAAAACGGATAAACATATTAAAATTCTGTAAGCGTCATTGTTTCTAGCTTGAAGGGAAAATCTTAATTTAGTACATTCAAATATGACGACGCCGACGTTATTTACTTTGTAAAATACCGACGTATATATTTTTCAACTGATTTTAATAGATAATTATATCTGCGGACACTCAAGATAAGTTAGTTAAAATGAACGCAACTGATTAAAGGAGCGAAAGTAATTGCAAAGTATCAATATGGAATATAGGTCATTAAAAAGGTAAATAACAACTTACCTTTTTGTTAAGTTTTTTTTCAGCAACAATTAAAACACCTACAATTTCTAAAATTGTAACCAATGATCTTGCTTCCAAAATACTTAAAGTAAAAAAATTATAGTCATAAAATTCTATTAATATATAGATATTTAAAATTAGCGACGCTGTGGATAAACCCACCCATCCTATTAAAAGACTTGTCATATAGTTGGTCATTAAACCAACGTTACAATTAACGACATGAAACAACTTGTAGTATTTTTGGAAAAAAGCAAAAGAGTCTGTTAGTGATTCCTTCAAGGACTGCTCCACGGCTTGTAACACAAAAGCTACAACGTTAACTCTTTGCCAGATTTCCAGGGCTGCAAAGCATTGAAAAGTATATGATAAGAACACAAAGATTTGTCTCAAAAGATTCCCTGGTTTGTTATCGTATGGAAAATAGAAATACAGAATGCTCATACCAACGTTTGCTAACACGATCGTACCATAAAGTACAGCCCTTCGAATTTTAAACTTCTGGTTGTCTTTAAGGGTTAAAATGGTCCTTAAATTATAATCTTCGCAATTTTTATACAAATCATTCCAACAATTCAGTTCTAATGTGTGATGCCGTAGTTTTGAGAAAATTGTCAAACTTAAGATAGTGCCAATCGCCAAATAAATTTCATCTTCTATAAAAAGTATACACAGCGATTTTTCTTGATGACAGACTTCAGGAGTATACACTATATAAGAAACTAAGGGAATGACAAAAGTCAGGGCCATCAACGTATTCCAAATCGAGCAAACAATGGATATCCTAAACTCTGAATTTTCAGAAAAGTGTGATTTTGAATGTTGGCAGTAACCCTGAATAGGATAAGATTTTTTAACAAAGTCATATTCGGTACGTAACATACACACTAGGCAATTTGATGCTTTTGCCATCACGAGCGCTTTCGATCAACTGAACACTAATAAAGCTGAGCGAAGATAAATACTACTATTTAATGATAATCGATTTCCTCTTTTAATTTATGGTGCATTGTTTGCTATGGGCAAAGTAATGTTTACGGGAATACTAATACTACTAATTAATTAATATTCCCTCTGTCCGAAAATATGGTATACATTTTACAAAATTATTATAATTCACGAGTGATGACCAACAAATTATAATCAAGTAATTTTGTCTGCAACTTGTATATTAATGGAACATCATATAAATGGTGGACTGAGATCTAAGGTACGTTCGTTTCTGTTAACAGTGATCAAGAAAATGACTACAATAACAACAAAATAAATCGAGACCCGCTGAATTTAGAAAGTAAGAGATTTTGGAAAGAATAATTAAATAATAGTAAATTTTCATTCATGGCATAATCCCTTGCATTATAAACTAATATCATACGCTATTTTATGGTCGAAGTGGCGGTAATAGACCATCGGTTTTAATTTCTAAGTCCCAGTTTTATTTTCACCTTAATAAAAATACAAATGACAATTCCTGTTGGTTGCTATAACGTTTTTTCAAACAATTCCATTGTCTTGTGAAAAATCCCTATGGTGTACCATTGTGTTTCTCACACAAATCGTGCCATAATCTGAAATCGTGCACGAATATTGAAGATAGTTGTTAAGTCGTTAATAAACAGTAAAACAAAAAAGGACCCAAGTTGGAACCTTGTGGGACTCCGGACTTAACAATAAATTTTTGTGAAATGAAACCCCTATACATTACGTAATTAAATCCGTCTTGAACGTAACTATCAAGTAAACTCAAAAGTGGAGAGCTGAATCCATAATTATTGAGTTTATTCAGTAATACTTTATGATCCACCCGATCAAAGGCTTAGAAAAGTCCGTATATATAACGTCCACTTGTGAATTGTTATCAAGGGCTTTGGCAAGGTAATGAGTGATACACGACAGGTTGGTGACAGTTGATCTTCCGCTAACAAAACCATGCTGATCATCTGAAATTATATTCTTCACGTTATAATAAATGTGTTTGTATAATATAGATTCAAAGACTTTAGAGATGTTGGACAGAATTGTTACGGGTCTAAAATTTTCAATCCTGTCTTTGTCTCCCGATTTAAATATGGGACATACTTTTCCAACTTTCCAACAGGATAGACGGACGTATCAATTACTACATTAAACATTTTCCGAAAAGTGGAGTCACCAATACGCTAGCAGTCTTTCAAAAAAAAAAAAAAAATGAAGGTATAGAGTCATCACCAGATGAAAACGTAGGTCTAAGTCTCTTTATAGCTTTTAGTATTTCATTTTCAGAAATTGTTCTTACACTAACGCCTGCAAAAATGCGAGAGTCTGAAGACTGACCCTGATAAACCACCTGAAGATTGAACATAAGACTTTGAAAAATGACTAAAAAAAGCGTTCGCTATTTCTTGTAGTGATTCTAAGCGTTCATTGCCTAGAGACATAGAAGCCGGAGTCCTCATATCCTTACGTTTGTTATTGACAAATACACAAATATCCAACACTTTCTGGGATCATTGATTAATTTTTGTTCGACATTATCTATATAGTTTTTAGAAGCAATATTAGTGTCCAATTTAATTTCACGCCGAATATTTCCATACTCCTCAAGACAAGATTCAGTTTTAAACTTCTTGTATTTTTTAAAGAGTTTGTCTTTTGATTTGATTTTCCGAATTAAATCAGCTGTGAACCAAACAGGAAAAGCTCCCTTTTTAGGTTTTATTTTAGGAACAAACCTGTCGAATAGTTCATATAATTTTACATAAAACAACTTACAAACTTCATCGGCGGAGTTAATACATATTATCTAAAAAACCCCAGTTCATCTCAATCATAGCATTATATAAACCAGTAAAATCAGCCTTCTTGAAGTTATAGCAATTAAGATTTTATTCTATTTTTTTTTTTTTTGTAAACCTAAAAACTGTTAAAATGAGACCTGACTACCGTTGTCAAAGATATATTATAATTTTTAATAAATAAAATTCAGTTTTATATCAAACAACAATCTGTTTCAATTTATACACACTAATTTATTATTTACATATTTACAATATAGGTACAGATTTGATTATACTCCTTATACACATAGGTTTATCGAAGTCTTTGGTTGGAGTAATCACCGCCACATTACTAGTAATAAACTTGTAAACTACAATATATGTACACATTTCAACTACAAAGTAAAAATATCGCTCACATGTCATGATACTGTTTTTAATAAACTGACAAAACTATGATTAAGTAAGAAAATACGACAAGGTTGCCGTCCGAGATCGGTATTTTTGCTCAAATTCAGATTTCTACACATTGTATCAACAAGCCCAAAAAGGAAACCTATTTCAATTACGTGCTTTGGTTTTGTTAAGTGTTTTTTCACCTGTGTACCCATTTGCAAGAAGAAACAAAGTTTCGTAGTTGGGATGCTTTCAGCATCTTCAGTATTTGGTCGCAGTAAATTTCCCGCTTCCTCTCTGAAACAAACTTTGTGAGTTTGTCAAAAGAGTGCATTTTTGGGAAATCATTGTGAAATGCATTAAAACGCTATGAACAAATTTAAACCACAAGGCACTTACACGCTTGAAGAGGACTATGGCTTGGTACAAAATGTTGATTTTAGTTATGCAAACGAAGTGGACGCATAGTGAGAAAAATGTTCGACGATGGACAACAGCCTTGACGTCGTTTCTTGCTAATTGTGACTGTAAGTGGTTAAAAGGTGTCATGGCACATTACATTTAAATTTTTTAAAATATTTTATATTAGAACCGCCGAACAGATGCAGACAAAAAGGCGCGTCGTGAAATCGTGAACAATGAATCCAGCGTTGCTATTTGTTAGAAGACTGACACCTTAATAGAACATGTAGAACCACGGGTTGTTCATGCGTCTTTAACCTGAATATTACATCCGTTTGGCGATTCTGATACAAAAAATTGTAAAATATAGGTACAAAATACGAGACACACACATTGACGAAATAAATAACATAATTATTATTAAACCATTAGAACTAAAATTAATTGTGCAATGGAAAACTATCTTAATCAAAATCTTTTCCGAGTGAAATGTGTTAGGGTAATATTAAAAGACGTTATACCCGTGGACGGCTTTTCTACACAAGTATGACTTTAAATTAAGATAATTTTCTATCGCAACGTAATGTTTTCTATGTAGTGATTTCGGAATGTAGGGACAGTTTGTAGCTACTACGATGACAAGATGAAGTTTCTGCTGATGGTGCAGGTATTTTGCCTAAATTCTCTGGTTTGGAATTCGTTTAGCGTATGTTTTACTGCAATTTTAAATATTTTATGATATTGTGAAACATTAAATTTAAAAAGTTACCTTAAAACGCTCTTCTGTTGATATTGTCCAGATTAGTTAGCGGTATTAAACCGCGAAATAGTTAAGGTTAGAAAAGTCAATCCGCCTTAGATATATTTTGTGCAGATTCCAAATTAAAACACCACCTTGCTGTTTTAAATTCGATGTTTTGATGTTTAGGAAAGCGTCTATAATGCAACATGTTATAAGTTATAAATAAAAATAAGTACTTTGGTCAGGAAATTTACCTCTTTTAAAAGAGTTGATATTAAATGTTGACCATTACAAAATTGTATCCATTTTCTAGGTTTTCCACAATCCATTTTGAAATGGAAGTATTTTTCAAAATATTGTTCCAATAGTTATTGACGAATAACAAGTTTTGGTTCCAACTTTTTAAAAAATTATGGAAACTGCACTGAAAATTTAAACCAAATTTATAAAGTTAATTTCAAAAAAATTTTACTTACCTTATTTTATGTGTTTTGTTTGCATTTTTCAAGTTGTACAGTAGGACGTACGACAGGTTTTGCTGCAGCTTTCTCAGTATTGTTGTGAAGGCGTCGCGAAAAAAATTTGTACTGAAATTTCATGGTTAGAAAATGCATAATATCTTGCGATGATGATGACTCACCTAAAGTAAAACGTTGAGGCTTAGCTTGGTTTGAATGGAAATACAGTTGAAAAATTATCATAAAAAAATTACCGATCGAGTTTGCATTTATGTGGTCAAGTAATTAAAATTTGGGATACTATGAAAAATAATTTATCCAAAGTTAAAATTTTGTGTCATTAGAAGAAACAATGAAGAAAATATATATAAAAGAAATCGTCATGTCAAATTAGTTTACTCAATTTAAATATGTATTCATAAAAGAAAGTGATTGACTTATGTTGCATGTAGCTATTTTGCGACAAATGTGAAACATAAAATCTCAAAAACAACTTTTGATTTCCAATTAAAATTTGTTTTTAGTTTATTTATACAGTCTCTGAATTTGAGCGAATTTGACATATTTTGGTAGATGTTAAATAAATTAATTAAGATAATACAACTCTTCACACTATTTTAAGACAGATGAAGGATATAGGCATATTCTTGAGTTACAAATATATTTCTGAAATTTTAAAGTAACATAGTTTTCCATTATAAAATTTTGAAATGTCATTCAGGTTGTGTCAATGTAAATATCAATTTGTGTAGGCACGGTGTAATATTAATAATAAACCGTTCTTGGTTTGATTAATAAAATAAACAAAAACATTTTTCGACAGAAATTCCTTCGCCCTTAAAAAGTATAGTTTGACAAATCCCACTTCTATAAAAACTTATAAAATTTGATTTTGCGTAATCCGGAAAGCGTGGACAATATGAGATAAATTTGAAGCAGATACCAACAGGAAAAAATCTACGAATTCTCATTTGGTCAGTATATGCTTAACTTCGACTGTTTATGTTTATATTTCGAAAGAATTCCACTATTAGCACGTTTAGTTTACAAGCAACAGCGGTTAAAAGGAAATGAAATTTGTTTGATTTTGTCTCCTCAACGTAGAAAAGAGGGCTGATTGATTAATCAACCAGACGCAGTTTTCCCCAAACACTCATAAATTTGAAGAACATTTATTCGGCAAAATTGTAAAATGACGGACAAATTTTGTTATTGTTATAAAATTGGATTTTTTGCGGAAGCATGTTATAATATAAAATTTAAAAAACACTAATTCGGCAGAAATATAAGATGACGTCATCATTTGTTGGGAAAGCCATCAACGAGTAAGTTTTGATTAACGATTTATCCTTACAAAACTTGTAAAAAGATTAATCAAGTGGAGAAAAGAAGTCCTGGGTACCGCCCAAGAAAATTAACTGAAGAATTAACTGAAATTGGATTGGTGAAGACTGTGTTTTAACTCAAAGAAAATAAAAATTAAATTGTTATAAGAAAATCCTCAATTATAAATAAGCTAACTTACCATAGACAGAGTATCAAAGACTTTCACCACTCCTTAGAACGTGTGTCCTTTATACCAGGAAGACACAACACACCAGAGGCTATCGAAACTAGGTTTCAATATACTGTTCAATATAACAGGATAACGATTAAAAGAGAAAAATAGTATATTTTGCAACAAGAAGTGAAAGTCATACTTTTTTCGTGAGTTGAGTATTGTTTCACGAGTCGCGCAGCGGCGAGTGTAACACACTCAACGAAATATAATACAAAATAAAATTTCCTGAAATTTATATGTAGTTAGGTATGTTTTTTGTCGTAGAAAAAATAGCATTTGCGACTCGAACTGAAAGTCAATTTTTTCGTTCGTTGAGTGTGTTACACTCGTCGCTGCGCGACTCGTGGAACAATACTCAACTCACGAAAAAAGTATGACTTTCACTTCTTGTTGCAAAATATACTATTTTATTGATGAATTTGGAAACAAATACATTTTAGGAGGTCGTATATATGGAAAGATCAGCAAGTAACTGTACAAAGTTAAAGCTCAGCTGAGAGGGCCTAATTACTCGATTGCGGCAGCAATGTGTGTTAGCTTTTTATACTTATTTATGGTTCAAGACAGTCCGTATAATGCTGTACATTTTGGGGAATTTTTAAAAAGCCTATTAATCAAGAAGATAATATTAGGGGCGTGGATACTGTCATGGACAACGTAAGATTTCACCGAACTGAAGAAATTCAACAATTGATACGATAAAAGTGTAGCGTTTTCTTCTCTGTGTCGTGTGTCGCTGTTGTCTGGCTCCTCGCTCTAAAAATAGGTAATCTCTAATTTCAAACAAAATTTAAGCTTCATCATGACACGAGGTGATACTAGAAACAAAAAGTGATCTCTTGTGTGACATAAACTGTGAAAGTTTTTTCTAAAACACTGTTATAAAAAGAATAGCAAGAAAAATTCCGCTAAAAAAAAATAGGTGACAGAATGTGGAAACAATGAAGTCACGAACTCAAACCTCAATTATTATGGCTACATTTATTCAGGTGCAATAAGGACACCGTCAAGGCGAAGCTGACGTCATATCTTAGTAAAAAGCTTCCCGATCAAAAGTTTCAGATCTTAAAATAACTGTACAGTCCAGAATTTTCAGTCCAATACTATAGGTTTTTTCACCAGAGTAGGTGCAAATTTGATATCAGAACCACATCGACATCAGAATTGTGAACCAAATCAGTTGAAAAAGTGTCCTACTAATACTAACATCAAACCTGATGTCACGTTGTCTTCATCTTCATCCCAAACTAATAGAAAACAAGTAATTCAAGAATTACAAGACAGTTAAGGAGTATTCACATTTCAGTTGACTGACATTTTGTTCTTCAACATCCAATCAACTAGGCATAAAATAACTCTTGCTTGAATCTCTTCTCATAAAGAATACAATAATTTTTTCAGTGCTATGTATTAGTGAATACTGGCTGTTAAAACAAGAATGTGAATCTCTTATTATAAATCAATACACTCTGTCATCATACTTTGCTTGAACATAAGGATATGGAGGATCGATGATTTTCACTCAGAACTTCCTTATTTGCAACAACATTCCTGAGATCACCAGCTTGTTGCAGGAAAAAGTATGTAAAATGTGGGTTGTCTTTATCCCTGCATTAAATTGGACTGTTCTTTCCATATAATAGAAGTCCCGCTGGTAAGCACTCAGATTTTCTAACAAATTTGAATCACGACTTGGAATTATTATATCACAATAGGAAAAGTTTACTTATTGCTGAAGAGTTTAACTCATCATTTACTATACCAAATAAAAATACTCGTAACTTAAATAATTTGTTGAATTATGGCTTTTCACAAATCTAGATATGTCACTAGTTAGGGTACCTAATCTTAATACAGTTATATCTGACCACAAAAATATTAGTCTGCAAATTAAAACTGAGAAACTTTTTAAGTAAAAAAAAAGTAAAGTAGTTTCTAAATATGTATGCCCCTTAACAAGTATGGATAAAACTATGTTTTATAATAACAAACGGCATGTCTGTTCCTATAACATTCATTTGGCAGAAACATAACCTGTTATGTATGTGTGTTAAAAGAATAGACATGCCATTTGTGAGACGCCTACTCTACACCCGTTAAATGTTTTCTAAAAAAAAAAAAATTACTCAAAGGCAATAAAAATTGTGATAAGCGAACCGAGGTTAAATGGTTTAACAATAAGTTACAAATCATGCCAAGTAATTTGTTATTCCGAGATGATTTCTACATATCTACAAAAAAATATTTAATTAAAGAATATAAAATTTTTTAGAGAAATATGTATATAATAAATATGTATAGGTATAGGTACTACAGTAAATAAGTCTAAGGCTGTGTGGTACATAATAGCATGTTTGCGCAAAACAGTTTCTTATGCAATTTACCTTATGCTTACAGTTATAATTTATAATTATAGATATAAGCATAATTGTAACAGTTATGCTGACGGCTTAGGGCCTTACATTGGCAAGCAGAACTGACTTTCTGACACGTAATTTAATTAATTTTGCACATGAATTATTTAGAAATTTTAGCGACTTGTGGCAATATAGAAGATGTTCAGAACTACTCAGTGTATCAGTTAATACAAAAAGAGTTTCTTTTTCAGTTGCGACATAATTAGAGTTCTAGATGACACTGACTGACATTGTAAAAAAATTCTATTGTTGACAATATAAGATGTAACGATTATGAGTGTTATAATTATAAGACATAAGTTATAAGGGTAAGTGTAAGCATAAGAAAAAAATTATAAGAAAATGTTTTGCGCAAACACGCTAATAATCAACAAACGGTATAAAAATAATTATAAAAAGTATGACTCTGATATCTCACCCGATGTTTTTAACAATTATTTTAACAGCATCTCTAATGATTACTAGATACTAGAAAGTTTACCTGACCCCAAGTATTATCCTACAGGTTTGATGTGTAATAATGTCTGTAATAAAATAATGTTAACATATATTTTCGTTTTACTAAAGTTTCTAAGAGCTGTGTACGGGATGTTACTACAAATTTAAAGTCCAGTTGGGGAAAGTAGGGGAATACCGGCCATGAGTGTAATACCGGCCACTGAATTTTTGTGTTATAAACCAATCTTTTGTCGCGGAAAAGAACAGCTCCATCTAGTAAAGCATTTTTTAGTCATCGGTAAAAAGTTGAGATCCATCCAACTATTGCAGAGGTTTGGTACATGGCTAAACATAATTTGACGTTAAAGCCTAGTTGTAACGAAGTTTCGTATAAGTATTTTTAAGTTTTAATAAAAATTGACAAACGTTTCATATCATCAAAATTTCATATACTAAACGTCAATAGAATCATTTGGGGTTACAAACGCGAATTTTACTTGATAGGAATAAAACATTTAAACGGTGATTTTCTTGTAATCCCGGCCAGCGGTGTGCGGGGAATTCCGGCCAGCCATTATTACACGCGTCTAATACACATTTGTTTTCTGCGCATTTAATCATATGTACGTAGTATATTACACCAGAATTTAATTTTAAGATGCCACGTAAATATATTAGACGCATAGCAAAGGGCTCCTGGTCTTCTGAACAAATGGAAGCACTATTAAGTGCTATTCGCAATGGTAGAAGTACACCAGAAGTTGCAAAATCATTTCGTATTGCTAGAAGTACTTTACAAGACCGATTAAAGAGTGGACCTTCTATGGGCCGTCATTCAGTATTTACTAAATAAGATAAAGAAAGTCTAGCAGAACAAATTACCAAACTTTCCCAAATTTTTTATGGTATATCACCTACCGAAATTAAACGATGTGCATTTACTTATGCAATGAGAAGTAGTATAAAGAAAATAAAAAATATCCACATCTGTATCAAATTTGAGGATTTCCATGCATATTTTCATAACACTCGGTTAGGGAAAAACTGAGTTTGAAAAGTATTCGCCTAAGGAGAACGCAGACAGCTCAGATGTACATACTGTGGTATAAAATTTTATAACTGTTTGCCTGATGTCATAAAAAATCTCAATGTTAAAGTTAAGAAAGAGGTTAAACAACTATTGCAAAAAACAGTGTATACTATGATTATGGCGAGTATTTAAATTGATTTTATTTGTAATAATTTAAAAAATGGTATTCTTTTTTGTGTTTATGTCTATACAAAAACATAATAAACATATATGTATAGGTTGGTTGGTTTTAGATGTTATTTTCTGGCGCATGTAAAACTGTACAGTTTGGGCACGAATACGCACTATTATTAAAATCGACAAATCTGAGCCAATTGAGGAACTATTTAAACAGTGGAAAGTGATTATTAAAAGAAATCAGCCTAGAAACGAAGACGAGTTGTATATCCAAACACAATGCTTCTGAGGCAAGAATCCAAGAGCAATGCCAAAATTATGTGCGGCATTTGGACACATATTTGGGAGATTGCCTCAAGAGAGATGAAATGCGATTTTAAGGGGTATTGATCTCATTCCCCATTAAAATGGATATACCGAGTAAAGACCTATTAGATATAGGCAGAGTAAAAGGATTTTCACAAAGAACTTTTGATGCAGTGGACCAGACTCCATTCCTACCAGAAGTGCCTAATTTAGACTTATGGCGCTCACCAGTTACTCAAGGATTAGTAAAAAGTGACTTATCTGAATTTAAACTCAGAAGTAGCATCACCAGGAAGGCTAACAAAACAGTGTATTTAATCACTGAAGCTTTTGGGAAAGCGAACGTTAAGGTTATTGTTGCGTTATACAGGGTGTCCCAGAATTCGCGCCATTCCCGTGAATGACATGTTCCCTGTCCCGAACTGTGCCGTAATTCGCAAAAAGAATTGTCCAGGCTTTAACCGTGTGAGAACTGGAAGCCGATTAAGTTGACCAATAGAGAGGCTGCTTTTATATCCGAACGTTTCTATGTTCAAAGTTACCTATGCCAAGAACAAAAAATCCGGTAATACTAAAGTTGAATGAATTTTTTCCGAATCCCCCTCCGTCAACAAAAGGAAACAGAAGTGTGGTTATAAATTTAATCATTTTGACAATTGTTTGTCATAAACTGTCACGAAGTTCATCACTGACCTGAACAGACGCTTCTGCCCCCAAAGATGACTGATTAATGTACACAGAGACGTCAAGGTTTACTTTAAGGCAAGTAGCATGGGACAGAAGTTATTTCTGCTGCCATTCTAGTTAAATTGTGTTTAACTGGGCTGTACATGTCATAAAAGAAGCTGTTTCATTTCATCATAGGCAAATAATACATTTATTACTATTCGACATAGTGTAGATACCGAAGAGCAGGTATTAGAGAAGTCATTTTCTTAGAGCCCCGTGAATAATGTGTTGTACTTTTTAACGAAAAGTAGTGCATTTTCAGAATTCACTATGCATCATATCCCTGGTATTAAGTTTATCGTTATTTCTAAAAAAGAGTACCACATGTTCATTCAAAGAACGTAATTAAGTGTACTAAAACATAAATATCGCTTTTGATTAATCGGTGCTTATGATTTTCAATAAACAGTATCAATTTTTACCGAACAGCTTTGTTGCTGATACCTAATCTAAGCAACGAAAAAAGAGACGAGACTCCACTTCTCTGGTGTATTGAAATCATAGGTATCTGCTGTGGTGTCAATCAGGTGGGGGAGATACTGAAAACGGAGACTTATTCAAGAATAATATTGATGGAAGCGGATCCTAGGAGAAGTGTCCGCTGCGTAGCGCAAATGAGTGGATGCTCAAGATCGACCACTCATCGTATCCTTCAAGAGAGAAGACTGCATCCTTACCATTACACGAGAGTGCAGCATCTGGGACCAACCGACTACCCGATTCCAGCCCATAGATTAATAGTATTGCTCTTGATATGCTCTCATGTTAGCGAAATGTGGATTTTCGTTTGCCCAGAAGTGCCAATGGTGCGCATTAAATATTCCTTTTCGGAAAAATGAACATTCGTCGGCGAAAAGAATGTGCCGTGAAAAATCAGGATTTAGTTCATTTTGTCGCAGTAACCATTGAGCAACATGCACTCGTCGCGCAGTCGGCTCGTCGCAGATGCTGCACTTTCGTCAATAGTAAGGATACAGATTTTTGTCTGTAACGATGCATGATCGATCTTGAGCATCCATTCATTTGTGCCACTTGTTCTTCACCGTCTACGCGTATAATCCGTGTAGCCAGGAAGGCCTTTCCGAATAGGCTAAAAAGATCCATCTTCTTTTGCTGGGTGCAACAAACGACGAAACACATGCTGGTGAAGGAGCCGATGGTTGGGGAAAAGACCTGTATATTCGCGCACAGCAGTGGCTGCAGAGCGTTTACATTCTCCATAAATTAACATCATTTCCAAATATTCTTTATACTAGTATGAATAAGACATCAATAACTTAGTACTGATTTGTATTGTCCTTAAAAAAAAAATGCAACTAAACGATTTTTGTCACATTTTTTATTCGTATCTTTTCAATCTCTAGAAAGTACTTACAACTTTAAAGAAACTGTTTTAAATCATCATGTGCAACATCAATATTATTCTTGAATAAGTCTCCGTTTTCAGTATCTCCCCCACCTGATTGACACCACAGCAGATACCTATGATTTCAATACACCAGAGAAGTTGAGTCTCGTCTCTTTTTTCGTTGCTTAGATTAGGTATCAGCAACAAAGCTGTTCGGTAAAAATTGATACTGTTTATTGAAAATCATAAGCACCGATTAATCAAAAGCGATATTTATGTTTTAGTACACTTAATTACGTTCTTTGAATGAACATGTGGTACTCTTTTTTAGAAATAACGATAAACTTAATACCAGGGATATGATGCATAGTGAATTCTGAAAATGCACTACTTTTCGTTAAAAAGTACAACACATTATTCACGGGGCTCTAAGAAAATGACTTCTAATACCTGCTCTTCGGTATCTACACTATGTCGAATAGTAATAAATGTATTATTTGCCTACGATGAAATGAAACAGCTTCTTTTATGACATGTACCATCGCTGGACAAAAAAAACTGGGACACAATAGGTAACTAGATAATTTTGAAAATTCGAAATTTAAAACGTGTAAGTTGGGCTTTTCCTGCCAAAATATTATTTATTAGGTTTGTGAAACATTTTCGCATATTTTCTTTATTGTTTTCAAGAAATTAGTCGAAAAGATAAAGGCGTAAACGAGAGCGTAAAATTAGGAACGTAACTTTATTCAAGAGAAAATAAAAAACTGGAATTATAACTAGAAACATTATACTGAAGATGCCAATTCAACTGATCAGTATTTTGTCATTGCATTTGCATCGATCACATTCTGTAGTCGACGAGGCATGGAAGCAACTAACTGCCTCATATATCCAGGTGTTACAGTTTCCCATGCCTCGACAATTTTTTCTTGTAATTCTAGTGGATTTCTAGGTCGAAAATCATTTTGATAAATATATTTTTGCATTTCTCCCCGAACATTTTCAATTACGTTTAAATCTGGGCTCCTAGAGGGCCAAGGCAAAACATTCACTCCCTGGGCTTCCAAATACCGACTTACCAGTCGGGCATTATGAACTGGACAGTTATCCTGCAATGGGTTTTATAATTATTAAAAAAAAAAATGAAAAGAAGAGTAGCACAAACTTGTTGAAATATAAAGTTTCGTTCTCCAAAAACTGGTATTACTGAGGGGAGCATAAGTTCCTCTAGAAGCCTTCTGTATACATTAGCGTTTAATCTTTCTTCTACTATTGCGCAAATTCCACGTCCTCTGCTGCTAACCCACCCCCAAACATTAACGAAAAAGCGACCGGATTGTTTATATTTATTGCAATAGCGTTCATCATATCTCGTTCCTGGGGGTCTATAGACACGACGACGCCCATTACTATATGATTTGAAAGTTTTTTCGTCGGAAAATATCACATTATTCCACATATCTGCAGGTTCATTGACAAATTCCTGAGCAAATAATACCCTATTTGCCTTGTTTTGCTCAGTTAAAAATATTTTATTGGCAGCAGCCCGATTTCTTAATTCAGTTTCGTGGACTCTCTTCCGGGCTGTTTTCAATGATGCAGAGAAATTCGTTTGCTGCCTTGCGTTAACCACTGTTTCGAAAGGATATTCTCCAATGAAATTTGCCAATTGAATGTTTTCGTCTGCAGTCGTTTTTTTTGGACGACCCGACCCCGCTCGTCTGATAATTCTACCATATTCATTAATTTTTTTTTCGCCAGTAGGACAGTATTCTTGCTAATATGCAGCTCAGTTGCTATTGTTCTAATTGAGACCCCATCCCTTAAACGTTGCGCAATAGTTTGCTTTTGAACTTCATTCAAACTTGGCATTTTTGAATTGGCACTTGACATTAATCAAGGTGACATTTTTTAAATTTCATTTTGAATTACATTTTAAAGAGCTGTTTACAATGTAAAAATTTTCAGTGTCCCAGTTTTTTATTTCCACCGATGGTACAGCCCAGTTAAACACAATTTAACTAGAATGGCAGCAGAAATAACTTCTGTCCCATGCTACTTGCCTTAAAGTAAACCTTGACGTCTCTGTGTACATTAATCAGTCATCTTTGGGGGCAGAAGCGTCTGTTCAGGTCAGTGATGAACTTCGTGACAGTTTATGACAAACAATTGTCAAAATGATTAAATTTATAACCACACTTCTGTTTCCTTTTGTTGACGGAGGGGGATTCGGAAAAAATTCATTCAACTTTAGTATTACCGGATTTTTTGTTCTTGGCATAGGTAACTTTGAACATAGAAACGTTCGGATATAAAAGCAGCCTCTCTATTGGTCAACTTAATCGGCTTCCAGTTCTCACACGGTTAAAGCCTGGACAATTCTTTTTGCGAATTACGGCACAGTTCGGGACAGGGAACATGTCATTCACGGGAATGGCGCGAATTCTGGGACACCCTGTATAAAATATATATAAGACCTATCCTAGAGTTCGCGAATAGTGTTTGGAGCCCACACCTAGTACGAGACAACGATTTATTAGAAGCCACTCAACGGCGGGTTACTAGGCTGCCTTTTGGTCAGATACGTCCATCATATCAGGATAGGCTCAAACTGATGTGTCTCTCAATGCTCTCCCGCAGACGCAAGCGAGGGGATGCCATTACCGTATTCCGAGCGCTTACTGATGGTGACTCACCTATTAGATATCTCTTCCCTTTAAATACGGATGGCCGTACTAGAAGTCACGCTTTCAAACTCTTAAAAGAGAAGTTTCGCACAGATGTCAGAAAATACTTCATCATTAACAGAGTGTTCGAATTTTGGAATTCCTTACCCGCTGATGTTGTCAGTTGCAAAAATCTTACCGAGTTCAAAATTAGACTGGATTTACATCAACGAGACTAATGCTAACATAACTGTGTTCTTGCGCGGGCATAACAGGCACTAGCCTCTGCCCGAACGCATTTCTAATAATAGTAATAATAATAATAAAAAATGTTGAATTAAAATAATTTGTTATACTTCATTATTATAGATGTAGACATATTTATTAAATTATATTACTTATGCTTGGGTCCTTGTACGTAAACTAAAAAATCTTTATTAAAACAGGCGAAAAACATTTGCGATAAATTGAAAGAATTTTGACAAACAGGGAATTTCTTTTGGGATATGATGTCAAAATTGCAAATACGGAAATAAATTTGTCAAATAGTGAAACACGTTCGACAAACGATGAAAACTAAAAGAAAAACACTGTAATTTCGAAACAATTATGTAGAAACAAATTTTAATTGTAATAAAAATAGCTAAAAATAAAAAAGGCATAACATTCTTAGCACCTGAAGTACAGTCCAACAAATTAAGCTTTTTATTAATTTATCATTTTTTATGATAAACCCCCGCGTATGGTGACAGAATATTGAAAGTCTGTCCCGGCCGCCGCCGGTGGAGAGGAGTTTTGGGGTTGCTGTTGTACCAATTCGATAGGGTTTTCGTTACTATTCGAGGAAGCGGCGTTAAACAATGTCCTACCATCATTATTCCTTCTATCAACGAAAATTTTTGTTCTGCTTTGTCCTAGGTATTTGATCATTTTTTTGCGACCATTGAAGGTAGCGGCGGATAGCGGTGTCCGACCATATTTACGAGCGCAATTGATTTTGGCTCCGCATTTCACTAGGCATTCGACCATTTTTTCGTGACCGAATGAGAATGCTGCGTCAAGCGGTGTCCGACCATACTGATCAGCGCGATTGATTTCGGTTCCGCATTTCACTAGGGCTTTGACAATTTTTTCGTCACCTTTCGAGGACGCTGCGTGAAGCGGTGTCCAACCATACTCATCAGGGCGATTGATTTCGGCCCCACATTTCACTAGGCAATCGACGATTTTTTCGTGACCTTCCAAGGACGCTGCGTGAAGCGGTGTCCAACCACACTTATTAGGGCGATTGACTTCGGCTCCACATTTGACTAAATATTCTACAATTGTTACGTGTCCCTGTCGAGAAGCTATTATAAGAGGCGTACTACCATCGAATTTATTAATAAAATTTACTTGATTAAAACTACTGGAAGATGAAAGTAACTGTTTGTTAACAACCATTTTAAATGCTTCTGCGTATCCATACAAAGCGGCAAAAAATAAAATATTAATATTGTCAGTTAGACTGTACGAATCTTCCAGTTGTAATTTGCGTGATTGTAATAATTCCAGTTCCGCTCCCAAACTTTCACTTTCTCGTGCCCATGCTAAGGGTGTGATTTTATGTAAAAAATCTTGTTCTAATATTTCACATTTATCTAACAAAAACAATAACGCTTTAGAATATTCTTTCGTTTCTAATGAACCACTCATAATCTCGTGATTTGCCTCAATAACATAACCCTTATATTTGGTTCCTACTTTTAAACGCCTATGTCTTTGTCCCCAAGAACAAATGAGATGTAAGGCACTTCTTCCGCACTCATCTTTACTTTTTATTATTTCATTGTCAAAGTTCTCCAATTCATCAAAATTTCTGTATAAAATCCCAATGTGGACGGGTGAACTTTTGCCAGTTAACATGTCGAAGAAGAAACGTACATGATTATACTTTTGATCAAAAAATATGTCCCTGCGTACCTTTCCAAAATTTTTAGAAAAATATAAGGCAACAAAATATTCGGCATAGGAAGCATGTGCAAATTGCGGAATGGCGTTTTGTATTCCAGTCACGATACCAACAGTTGCGAAATCTTCAGAAACAGAATCTATTTCTTGCGAATAATCTATCTTTAATTGTTTCAAAACATTTTCAGGAAATATTACTTTGAGCGCCAATTTTTCATACTGTTTTAATTTTGCAACCTTTTTCTTCCGAGCTTCTTCTTCCCAATAAGTGCTGTTTACAGGAACTTTGCTGTCGTAGAAAAACTTCAATTTTCCCTCAATAAAATAACGATACATGTCGGTCAAGAGAAATTTATTATCTAATAATTCAAAATATTTTGCCTTATTTCGAAGTAATACCTCTGTAAGCAAAAATATTTGAAGAGGGATTCCCAATATATCTATATGCTTTGTAAATGCAAACGTGGATTTAATATTGTCGATGATTGGTTTCAAATCTACAGACGCGATAAAACTATTAAGACGTTTCTTAATGTAATCGTTTTGCTCGACTTCGTTGAGCTGATTGATGCTCATTGACAAAGTACTAAATTTTTCTTCAAGAGAACATCTCAAATGTTGCCTTGCAGTAACCCACTGAATGAAACCTCTTTTTGATAATGTAAGAATGAGATCTAAAGTGGCATTTAAATAATGCGTAAATATTTCATCAAGAGCGTCCCATACATACACCACACTGCGCTGCTTTAAACACATCTTGAAAAATTCTCGTTCCAGTCCAGTGAGGTGTCGATATTTTTCGTTTAAAATAAATGTTTCCAATAAATTTAAGTCTGCTGATATTTCAGATTCTCCTGAATTTTTAAAGAAAGACATAACATCTTGAGCATTTAGAATCACGGTCCAATATCTCGCACAACAGTTGTTTTTCAGACTCTTCGTTAACTCGGTTTTGCCCATCCCTGGGTCACCTGTTATTAGATTTATGTTGTTGCTGAATTCCGAAGACCAAATTTCGTTTTCGTTTTTGAAACGACAAAGTAACCTAAAATTTCGTAGTTCATTAATACTGCCTCTGCTTCGAATCCATTCTAAGTTGTGTTCGTTAGAGAATTTAAAATAGTGTACAGTTTTGGATTCTGGTGTTTTAGAACATATTTTCTGAAAATCAGAATCGCTAAAAGTATTTTCACTCCTTATAAAAATTGGATTATCAAAAATTTTGGAGTCTGTATTACTTAAAAAACCGTCAATATCTGTTAGAGTATGCTTTTTATGTATATTCAATTCCTGAGAATTACCTTCGCAATTTAAAATGATAACAGTATTTCCATCAACATGTTCTAAATATTTAATGTCTATAATATTGACTGACAAATATCTATCGATATAAAGATTGGGAAAAACTTGCTTTTGTCCATCTATTTGGCATGGACCATTTGTCATCTCTAAAAGTTTTTCCACAGTAACATGCTTTAAATTGTCTTCATCTTTTTCGAACGCGGTCATCAAATTAAGTGCTTCTTTCCCTTGCAAAGAAATGGTGAAATTTTGCAATATTTTGGCATACAATTCGCCTTTTGGTTGTAAGTTGGATAAATTTTGAAACACAGAGAATTCTTTCATCCATTCTCTACATTTTCCCTCACTAATTATAATAAATGTTGCATCTGGGCAAAGCTTAATAGCTTTTTTCATATTGTCGTGTTCTTTTACAATAAGCGGACATTTCTCCATCAGCCACAGCAATTGCGTCAACAAATTTGCAGTCAAATTTTCGACACTACTTATATAATTGAAAGAAAGGCAATAACGTGATCGAACATCGTTTAGTTCTTTAAAGTCAACGTTTTTGTCCATGTCGCCCCACAACTTTTTAATTGCTTCGGTGCCTTTTTTTTCGAACAGTGTAATGTCGAATACACAAATAGCCTCTCGAAGTATTTTCATTTCGTCTGTGACTGAACCAAAAACAAACGGTTCGATCTGAGAAGAAAGCAAACGAAGTGCGATTGCACGTTGCATCATTCTTTTGCCTAGTTTTTCTTTTTTTCCCTCTTTCATACTCCATTCCGATATGAAGTCGAGGTATTTCTTGAAAATTTCTTCGTTAGAGCAAAACATCTCACTAAATATATTCATTGTTGATTTTGTAACAGCTTCAAAACGTTTTTGATTTGTGTAAAGGCGAAAGCTTTCGAAGAATGTTTGGTACTGTTGAATTTTTTCAGGATTTTGTTTAGTCCATTCGTCCTCTACGATTTGAAATATATGATAATAATTTATGTTTTCCGAAATTTTTAAAATGTCGAAATCGTCTTCTGAAACTGTCTTCTTAATCGCCTTCAGATAAAACTCTTCTCCTTCGAGTTTAAATTTTGTTTCCTCTGAAGTTGTAAAAGTGTTTGTGGTGAATAATATAAATTCTTGGACTTCGCCCTGTACCTCTTGAGCAGATTTGAAATACTTTGTTATACTGAAGTTTCCCGTTTTACTTGCCAACTGCTTTATACTTAATTGTCTTTTTTCATTATTGTGTTTTAATTGCAATGCTTTTATTTTTATTCCCCTATCTGTCTCAATTTCAATAACCACGTCATCAAAATCACCAAAATTTTTATCGTTCGAAGAAATGCGGAAGTCTCTTATTTTACTGTCGTTTATCATTTGTAGTGCAACGTAAGCGGTGATCAAATCTTCGTATATCTTACCCTTATCTGTGGTTCCTTGTCGTTTTTCGAAAGTCTGAAACAGAATCAACAACGTGAATAAATCAGGAAAAATGATAAACTTACAACTTACGACGAAATATGTAGTTAATATGCCCTGTTATTTTTCAGCCTAGATTTTATAATTATAATAAATCAGTTTTACTGTCCAACTGCGTTTTGTGAAAAGTTGAAACATAAATCGGCACAGATGACATAAACAGAGATGACTCTGACATTAATAATTGGAGTTTTAACTCCTTTCTTGTCGTATTATAAAACACGTATACGCGTCGGAATAGGATGTCGAGTTTCAACTATGAGATCGGTGTCGGTGTCAGTGTCGAGGTCACCGAGACCTGGCTTGTAACGCCGCGCTATCGAAAGAGGGAGAGATAAACTGGTGTGAATGTGTAGGTAAGCGAAGAAAAACACGTCAGAGGTCACCAATGTAGGTAAGCGAAAATCAAATGTTTGCTGCTCCGGTGCGGAATCGAACCGCACATATACTGCTTGCCTAGCACGCGCTTTGTCCACTGAGCTACGGAGTCAATGACGTCTACTTCGCGTACCCAGCTATTATTGCGCCTCCACAAATGTAATCATGACGTACTGAATCGCTGGGACTCAGTCTCAGTAACGAATGATAATTATCGAATTTAATCGTCACTTTTCCCATAAATACAATTAACGAAAACGTAATTAGTAAAACAGCTAAGTAAATGAGAATGGGAATTAACACCAGAGTGCAACGAAGCAAGGTTATACACAACGTCCGTTGGAAACGTTATAATTAATATATCGTTAAAATGTATGGGATTAGTTACATTAACAACAAATTCCTAATATCTTTATATATCGTTAAAATGTATGGGATTAGTTACATTAACAACAAATTCCTAATATCTTTACAACATAGAAATTAATAGACTTTCAAACGTGTAAAAAATGTAATAAAAAGTTTAATAAATGAAAAATTTTAAATTTCTTTTAAATATGTAGCAGAATGGGTTAAAGATTATTTAGTTCTAATAGAGCTACTATAATTCGTGTTTGGTATGTTCAGTTTACAAAATAAAAATGCGTAAATTAATGTTGACTATAAAGAAATCCACAGTTAACGTGCGGATACCCGTTACAACAGGTTACAACACGTTCAAAATAATTGTCAACAGAAAAAAAATACAAAACTGGACGGTGATTTGAGATAATTCTTCGATTTTGCAGTCCACATAAAATATAATAAATGCTCAACATCTTTTTGGGGACATGATAATACATTAAGATTTTGAAAAGTCCCTGCGACCTAAAATTAGCAAGACGTTAGTTCTTTGAAGTAAGTATTGTTTTGATGTACTGCTACATAATGTCAGATCACTCGCTGATTTTTCCCTTTGTCCATTTTATTTTTAAATAGAAGGATGTTTCTTAAAATTTGCTTAATTCAAGTCCGGTACAGTATTTACTAATTTACCTTTTTTAGTAAAGGGTGATTTGTTGCTTCACATATTTTTTCGCCAACCTTCTCGTTTGGGTGTGTATTTTCTTCAATACTTTCATTAATTTTTTGATTGCTTCCAAATATATTATCTTGTTTGTCTGATGTATCTTCTGATATTACTGGATCCGTCTGCTAAAAATAGTATATTATTAACCAAGGTTGTGAAGACAGACATTCTAGACCGAGCGCAAATTAGAACCTGAGACGCGCAGCGTCGAGGGCTCTAAAGCGCGAGGTCTAGAATTGGCTTCACAAACGTGGTTAATATACTATTTTTTCTACTAGTAGCCCATTTGAGGTTTGCGAATTTTCAAAATGTTTTTTCTGAAGTGCATCAATAAAAACGTGTACTCACGTCATTTTAGTAAGCTTTGGAATTTTATTATTTTTTGACAATCCAGAAATGGTCCAGAACTTTTGTTTTAATTTCCTCCATATTTCCCGTTTTTAATAAATTTTTGTGTGAAAAATGTTGTAAAGTGAACCATCATGTACCCCTCCTCATTCCGTCGTACTTACGCGACCACGACAAATTTGGCTAAAAAAGATATCGACCTTTTATCGTCAAAGCGACACGGGGAATCGAAATTCTCCACCGTAGCAGAAGGATACAACGACGGCTCGATCTTCAATAAAAAAAAAATCGCCGAAATCGTCCAAAGCTCATCTACGACAAATCAAGTCAAACCAAATCGGAACCATGAGTCAGTTTCACTCCCGTAAACTTCATTTTCACTCCCATCAACTTCATCAACTTAGTTTCACCAATTTATCCTCAATTACACCGAGAATAATCAACTCAGGGTTTGGAAATCATTCCAGGACATAATTTAAAAGCAAATTTTCCAAAATGATCGTTTTTAGGTTATGTCTCATTTTTTCTGACAGTTGTGGACAGTTGTCACATTAGGTGGCCAACTTCACGTTTACATTATTGACCAAGGTTCACAATTTTCCAAATTACAGACCTCTAGACAAGTCGACAATTAGCCATTGTAATGCTACTAGTGGAAAAAAGTAATTAATGAAATGTTCCTATCTACTCATAAATACACATATTAAACAACTGTTTGTGAAAGCTATGTAATTAAAAATAGCCTCAATTGTTAATCACCCTCATTAACCAACTTGTTCGTTAAGTAGGTGACTATTTTGTCTTAGAGCTCTTTGGGCCTGTAAAGACAACAGCAGTCTAATACTTAGTGAAAAAATATTTGATATTATTATATTTTACAACATGATTTGGTATACTTCTGCAGGCGTACACACTATTAAAATTACCTATCTAGAACCCTGCAATCAAGTTAAGTATTTATTTTCTTAATGTTGTAATTAATCTAAATAAACATTTTTTGTTGGTTTAAAATTATACCTTTGTTGAGGAACATGCATTTTCTGCAGACTGCGAAGTGTGTAAAATTCTATTTTTCCTTTCTTCAAGTTTTCTTTTTCTTTGTTCTTTTTTCCGTTTTAAATCTTCTTCTGCTTTCCTAATTTCTTCTTCTTCGGAACTGAAGTCCATGATGACAACGTTGATTGTACTTGCTGGAAAAAACATTTTAGTAAATACTTATAACTATCTATTAAAAGTGTAGCAGTGTTCGAGAATAAAACTAAAGACTGAAAACTCTTTTAAGTAAATAAGCGAATTATTTTCCGGAAGGGTCTTACTTTATCCTTCTAGTCTACCAAACATTAATTATTTTGCCCTTCAAAGAATATGCTTTGAACAAAAATTCGCTATCATAACACTTACTCCTAATTATTATTCGTAAACTATGAAAAAAAAAAAATTGTTGATTTGTGTGGTTTCAAAATCAAATTTAAGGGCACGTTGCATGGTAGACAACAGTATGTATGTACCAGGGATTACTACCAAACATTTGTTGTAATTTTGAAAACGATTGAGCGACGGAGCGCTAAAGAAACGCCTGGAAACGACGTCGCGAATGGGGTTTCTCAAGAAGTCCAGAAGCGGTGACGTAGGCGTTTCGAGAAGGACCGCGTACTGTTTAAATAGAGTCCACCTTTGCGGAACGGATTATTCAACTAGTGGAGTCAGGAGCGTCCAGTGAAATTCGCCGGAATAATATTTGTACATAATCGCTGCAATAGTTAGTCGTGTAAATACGAGTTATTAAGAAATAAATTGTTAAGTGTCATCCACGCCGAATTTATTCGCCCGCAAAACGTAACAATATTATATGTGACAAATTAATGTGTGGTATTAAAATGATATATATCCAATAGTTCTACGCCTTCGATTTTTGCTGCCGCACGCCACTGGGGGATGCGACCACACCTTAAATTTAAAAATACACTTGGCCCGATTCATTTTCGTCTGTTGCGCAAGTCTATGAGTATGCTTAAATTTTCTGATGACGTCATCAACATGTTAGCAAGGGCACATTAATTTGAGTACGTGCAATGAAATGCTAATAGTAACACTGCATACCCAAATTTTCGGGAAAATGGGATGAGCTTTTCTTCATTTAATCAATTAAATAAATTACCTCTTTCATTAATTTTTTGCCTCACTATACAGGATGTTATTGAAAAGTACGTACAAAAAATTTACAATTCTTCGCGAAGTGTAAGAAGTCTGAAAAACTTATTTTGTGTTATCAAAATTATAATGGGAAAATTAACCCTTATCCAGCCTTTTTCGACGCTACTGAAGGATACATCGGTAAAATTAATTTATTTTAGTAAATCCCAGCAACTGTAACAATAAAACTTTTGCCAAGACTAAATGTTGCTATAGAAACGAAAGATGATCTTTTTATCAAAGGCGTACAACGAATTTGGACATCAATTTTAATAATTTGTATCTCTAAAAAGTGAACACTTTTACTTGATTTTTTTTTACTTTTAGCACCCATACTTCGAGACCAATTGCCGATTTTATTTTGTACGTACCTTTCAATAACACGCTGTATACGTAGCTAACTTATAGGTTAATAAATCATAAGTTGGCATATTCTGGATAAGCAAAATTTTATGATGACGTTACTTTTTTTTTGGAGGATATAAACGGATAAATTTTGGTTAAAGATTTACTATGATTACGATAATCTTAAAATATTTACAAGATTTTCGAGCATTCGGCTTTGCAGTTTCAAAGTTAAATTACAAAAAAAGATTACATAATTCTGATATTTTTTCAAAAATCTGGATGTCTAAGGTAAAAACTCAACATTGTGTCATGGTATCATGGTTTAGTTATTTTGCGCTTCTATCTTAATCCTATGTATGCTGATTTTCGTAGGAAAGAGTAGACCTATACTGATTATTGCAATTAAAATAACTCTTAGAAGAAAATGTTTCTCAGTTGCCTAAAAATCTACATGACGAATTTATTTTAAATATTGGCAAGCTATTAAGGCACCAGTTTTAAGTTAGATTTGCGATATCGCAAGTCCCCCTTGCTATGAAAGATGCGATATTCCAAACCAACTTGAAATTAGCCTCTAACACTGATTTAGTCATTATAGAATAATGTTAAAAAAAATTAAAGTTGAATTAATATACTAATAAAATTATACTGTACAACTTACTGTTTTCCTAATCGGCTATCGTAGGAGTTGAATCCAATTTTCGAAATGTCTGCCAATTCTGGTTGTCTGAAAAATATATGTATATATAATATATATATGCTTTTGATGCTTGTATTTTCGTTAACAATTAAAATAAAAAAATAGGCGCACATTATAAATTTTGGTTGTATTTTTCAACTTACCCGTCAGGAAGTCGACCTGTTTAACTTCGAAGTTTATAATCACAAAAAAACTTGTATAAAATATGTTACAATTAAGGTATTACTTCATAATTATCACTATAAACTTTCTGATTATCCGTATTGCAATAATCTCCAGTTTTATTAACAACGTTCCTTAAGTATGGTGTTCTTTAAATAATTCTAAAGATGCGGTTAATATATCCGACACGTTGGAGTTATCACGACATTCAAGTATGATAAATACAAAAAATGCGGTTTTACGATAAAATGATTTACCTAAAGCAGTGACTATACTCACTGCCTAAAGTTTATTTTTTAACACTTACCATGCCCCTCTTGTTTTTGATTGTTGTTACTTCCTGAGCATATAAGCTGAGGAAGTATAGTAATCAAGTCCATCGGACGACTTGTCACTTTTATGTTTTCTCGACGTTTCATGAACCCCAGAGTACAAAAAACAAAGATCTCTCTAAGGATTAAAGATCAATCCGAGTAAGGACGACATAATCGGGTCTAATGGCACAAAAAGTACAGCGAATGGGGAAACCGTCATTCATTTTAAATCTACGTATAATTGTTGCAATTATTCTGTAAATTGTTTAATTGTTCCCCAAATAACCGGAAATATACCTGCAGTTTCTTTCAACAAGGAACCGTTGTAAATTCCGTCCGGTATGCAATTAGCTGATCCTTCTTTTCATCACTCGGGAGAAATGAATATTTTATTAGGGGCAAATGTATTTTGGTGAATTATCGGATCTGGTCAAATAAAAACTCACAATAACGATATTCATTTACAACAACCTTCCTTGGGATGGGTGGTTGTAGGTACATACACTAAACCAGGCAATAAATACCAGTACAAACCGACCCATTTCCTGCAAGTTTTAGACCAAAGGCTCCGATAGTTTTGGGAAATAGATCAATGGACTGCCGACAACAATAAGGAACTTTCCAGGGAGTAAAAAATGTGCGAACAACATTTTGCGAATAACCATAAACGAAACAATACGGGCAAGTTCTAAGTTCAAGTTTTAAGTCAACACCGGAACAATTAGGTACAAACGAACGTATAGCTAAAACACGCATGCAGTGGATAGAAAATAAATTCCGGTCGGATCCACAATTTATGTTATCGTATAAAAATTTCATTGCAGAATATCGCGATCTGAATCATATGGAACGGGTACTTCCTTCATCAGACGAAGGAGCTTATTATCTTCCACATCATGAGATAATAAAAAATTCTAGCAATACTACTCGCCTAAGAGTAGTATTCGATGCTAGCGCAAATTCATCCACGGGCGTCAATCTGAATGATTTGCTAGCGGTAGGGCCGAAATTGCAAAATGACTTGTGCGCAATTATATTAAGATCACGCTGGCATAAGTACTTAATGACTGCAGATATAAATAAAATGTATAGGCAAATTTGGATTGCCCCGGAGGACCGTAAGTATAGTATTTCCACCGATAGATTAGCTGACAGAAAAGTCACCAAAGTAGCTATAAAAAGTAGTGCCAAAGGCGCTTTATTTGAAATATAAGTAGATTTGAAAATAATGTTGAACTACGTAAAATTACTTTTAATAATAACACAATTTATTTACAACAGACAATATTATCTACACAGGAACATACACTTCGAATAACATTACGTACTTTATATTGAAGTAACAACCTCTGTAGGGCATCTTAAATTAAAATTTTCCTTCTTGAAAAATGAATACGCATTGGCAATCATTTTCTGTGCCACGATGTTGTCAACAACAGTAATATTGCACCGGGTTGAAGGGGGCTACAAAATATAATGGTATATAATTATTGCACAGAATAAATCAACAACACACTCTTGAGTAATTATGAATTTTATTCGTAATGTTTTCCATGGGGTCCATATGAAACGTTTTTTGACACACACAACTTAACCTAAAATGTCCAAACTTCAGCCACTATACAAAAAAGAGCACAAAGGTCTATAATATCATACCTAACAAATCAAAGCAAGTAAAAAAACACAAACACTAAACGCAAAAAACACACTTTTTAACTTTTTGAACCAAAATTTTAAATTAACGTCAATCAGCTGATCGTCCAAAACACAAAGCGTTTTTCCGCGACCTTACTACAACTTACCATAGTATGTGGTATGATTTATCAACTCATTTTCGCGAGAAAGCGGGAAGTGAGGAGAATGTGGTGTAACCGTAGCCACAAACGTCAAGAAATCATACTGCAGCTTACCATACTCTGGAGCGTCGTCTTCGTTGATTCACTATTAAAGTCTCTCCAATTGGTTACAATCGTCCGACTTGTCAAAAGGGAAAATATCAAAAGATGTCACTCCCTTCGGGAGTTACAGGAACCTGTAATTAATCCGTTTTGTTATGCATTGAAACAATTTGTGCTTGAATTGATATTATCAAAATGTCCAAAAAATATTCCTCTGTGCCTGCTTGTGGGGTAATCAAGGATCCTAGAGACCACAAAATAATGCACAGATTCCCTTCAAACACTGTGAACAAAAGGTTGTTGCACAAAAAGGTTTTTAATGCTACAAGTAGGTACCCCCACATGAATCTTTTACCTAAGGGAATGTATAGCCATTAAAATCATTTCAGACGATAATATGATAATATTGCAAATAATTTATACATTTGTGGTAAACACTTTGAGAGAAGTTGTTATTATACAGATAAAAGACTTAAACCCGGCTCTGTTCCTACTTTGTTCCTCCATGGTTCCAAGTCACCGCTACCTGTTCCTATTTCTTCAAGCTCCCCAGCAAGTACTAAACGTGATCCAGAATGTAGCTTCATAATTCCTGAGACACATTCTGATAACAATGTAAACACCTCAAAGAAAAACTTTCCTACTGCATATCCCTTTGCAGACCATCCACGCCCATGGCGTTGTGACTTTGGCACCGGTACCGAAATTTTGCCTCTTTTTCAAGTAAAAACTGAAATACATGATGTCAAATTGTGTCAAAAAGTCAGACCACGACACATTTAGCCGACATTACAGATTCCTTTCTCTCCCGACGTATGCGCCCTCACATGTCACATTTAAGGGATTGGAGAGACTTTAATAGTGAATCAACGAAGACGACGCTCTGGAGTGGTGTATGTATGTTGCGGTAAGTGAAATGACGTAAGATGTTTATAACCTTAAAAGCGGGAAACTAGTGGAGTTGATGGTGGTGTTTAAGGTAAAAATTAGTCAATCGTTCACCAGTTAAAAGTATTTGATTTTTAAAAACGCTTGTAAAAATTGGGCCAATCTATTATGGAAAACTCTGCCAACATGGAAAATTACGTGGAATTAGTGGATATTTCCGTGAATGTTAATGGAAATGATGTTTTATTAACGCTAGATGCGGAAACAGCGGAGACCTTATTGAATGGTAAGTAAAGTATACTCGTACCATTTAAGATCACGACCAAGCCCGAAAGTATGTCGAAATGGCATTTCCTGAAGCTAATGACAATTGTACTGATGAGAGTAATAGTACATGAAATGTGTTGTGTGCCTGAGAAGAAAAAAGTATGGTTCTCTAAAGGGCGACCTACAGCAGAGGATGAGGCAGCTACCGCCACATTGTTAGAGCTGAGGAAAAATTACGATCCGAAATTTCGTGATAAAAAATCTACAAATAATTCACTGTGGGCGGCAATAGCAAAAGAGTTAGAGGCAAAAGGATACGACATATGTCCAACTAAAGAAGGCCCAGCTGCAAAATGTAGACAAAAATACGTGAATTTGGAAAAGCAGTATATTAGTTATATTCAACACACCAGACGGACAGGAGAGGAAAAGAAGTACAAACCTCCCTATTTTGATGAACTACACGCCATATTAGGTAAGGAAATGTTTCATTTGACCATATACCAGTGTTCCTTAAATTTAGCTATTACAGAAAACAAAGATAAAATTTATCCCACCAGTCTCCAAGATACAGGGTCTTTGAAAAATGAACCTGTCGCAGGACCATCGAGTCAAACAAGCGACACTGAAGATAGTCAAGAAGATAATAATAATAATCTTAATGATCGAGTTATCAATAGATTTGCTAAAACAAAAAGAACGGTGCGACCAAAATCGCGATCATCGGAAATTATTACCACTTTTACTGAACAACAGGCGTTAGATCGGGAAGATCGACGGCAGCAGTACCAGGCGTTGAACAAACTCTTACAGGAGCAAAACGAACAGCGACGAGAGATGATAGGTTTATTCAGCACATTAGTGCGCCATCATGTACGTCCTGAAAAAAGAAAACACAACGGTTCCTCAGATTCGGAATAAAATTTAAAAATGCATCATTTTAGATACCGTCCATTGGAGTAACTGGTCGGTTTTCGAGAATGATTACACGTTAGTCAACTTTTACGCCAACGAGAGGCAGTTATGTTTTTTTATATGTTTACATACCGTCCACTGAAGCAATTGTTTGGTTTTTTCAAAATGAATATTTTATTTATTTTTTGTTAACTTTTACATGTTGTTTTATATAATAAAAATTCATAAAAAGCAATAATTATAACATGTATGTTCCTTTAACAAAAAGTGCAGAAGTAGTATTATCGTTCATTAAAAATGATGTGGGCAATATGGTCTCGCTTAGCTCTGCCTAAGCGTGCTTCTTGTTCATTATTATTCATAATTTGATCACCTTCCCACAAGTCATTGATGATTTCCTCTGTCCATGTATCTTGGACCATGTAACAAAAGTTATGTAACACGCAGGCCGCTGTTATTATTTCAACTGCTTTACTAATTGAATATGTATTTACATACAAAAGGCGTCTCCAACGCCCTTTGATGAGTCCAAAGACATTTTCAATGGCTATTCGTGCGCTGCTTAATCGGTAGTTATGCCATT